TGAAAACGGTATACATCGTAAAGGATGTGCGCGTGATTAAAAAAAAAAGAAAAGAAAAGAAGAGGCAATCGAGAGAGCTCGAGTCTAAGGGAGTCGTGGGGGGCTATCATGAGGATAGTCGGGGCCGATCCCGTCTCGTCGAATCGGGGCATCCTCGAGATTTCCGAATGCTACTCGCGACGAGCTGTGCGCTCGAGGATGCAAGGGACCAGGATGATCGAAACGAGCGTGGAGTGGAGTTCCGTGAAAGCTCTGATCAATAAGGGACATCGGGAGTTCTGAGCTCGGTGGATCGTTCGCGGAAGTGGACATCGTCGCGAGGATGTAGGGGGGCCCATGCACTCGGGGCCCCGGCGAGGGTTTCCTTTTGGACTTCTCGGCGCCAAAACTTTTGGGAAGTTGTTTAGAAAATCTTGGGATAATCGTCGAGATATATGTTCTTTCGGTTCTCGTGACAAAAGTGACCGGGAATGCCCGCAGTTAACGGAAAAGGGAACGAGCAGAACAGGAAGCAACGTTTACGTGTTCCGTAGCAAAACACTCTGTAAGAGATACTCGTCATTTTTATCGTTTTCATCCGTTACTCTCTTGAGGGATATTGCCATATATGTGTAGATTTGCTTTTATAGTAAAATTACTATTACTTAATAATTATAATACCTTTTAGAATTAAACCTTTATTAAAACCTATACAATGAGACAGCATATTTGTATGTTAAAATCGATTTATAGACAAAAATTGCTTTGATTTTTGTGTATTCAATTAGAGTTAAAAAAGAAAAACATTAAAAATTCGTCCCTCAAGAGGTTAACCCATTGACTGCTGAACCCGTGTACAGTTTCACGCCCTCGCGGTTGAATTTTGTTAATTGATCAATTTTGAAAGTCAACACAGAGATGTGCATTATTTCCTTTGTTAAAATGAAATGATTGATTTAATTGAATTAATAATTAAATCGAATGGCCATTATTGCTGAAGGGAGAAGGTCTGCCTAAGATGGTACGAAAAAAAGGTGCATATTCATGAATTTTTTGGGGACGAACGAAAAATTTGTTGGTAATGAGTTTTAGAGTACTCAAAGGAATGTTTATTAGCGAATGTGTCGCAGTTTTTGTATTTACAAATACCTTAAATTAACAAAGTCGTAGCGTTTTGTTTTTTTACATTTTCCGCGGTGACCACTACTTTCTGAGCTGGTTTCTTAAAAGAACTGTTATCAATGCATTATGCTTTTTGAACTTTCGATTATTCTCAGACGTAATTGTTAATTTTAATCTGTTTTAACTGAAAAAAAAAAGTAGTGCTTTGCCCTGAGGGAGTCGTTGAACAAGATACTTGGTCCCCGAAACGATGAACAGAGGAGTGACTTTATTAATATTTGCAATGACGAGGCTGCGGATTTCACGTATTTATGATGTATACATATTTGAAAGACACATTCGAAGAGCAATTGGATAAATATTTCGTAACGTAATATGATAATATTGCATTTCGTATGTATGACTGCATATATTATGTATTATGATTCTCACCAATTTCTTTTTGGCTTTGAATTATTTAACAAATTTCCATACATTCAATAATGATTATTTTAAATTTACTAATTTTGTACTACTGAAGGCGGACCTCACAACATACACCATTGAATAATAAATAACGTTACTCGTTCCGAGGGCGTAATCTTCTTCGTCTCCTTCTCTATTTCAATTCTTAAGTTTTTTAATTTTTTATGTTTTTAAAAAATGTTTAATGAACACGTTTCTCTTTAACGATATAACTGCCATACGTTCTGAAACAATGGAATCAACGTTTATTGATTCTTTGAAACAAAAGATTTCAAAAAACATGCCTTGACCTCTTGTAAGTATATAGACGTGTAGCATCAAATCCCTTATCGTTTACATGTGGAGAGGCCGATGACTTGCGCGTATAACGGCCCCCTCGTAAGGAGGACATTCCTAGATTTCCCAACCTGCAAATTCTATAAATTTGGAAATGGCCCTTGCAAAAGTAGTTACGCGATACTACAATACACCATTATTGTTAATTTTAATCTAATTTTAATTGTATTGTAATTTTAATTTTAATTGTATGATTGCATAAAAGTAACTTTTACATTAGCGAACGTTCCCTGTATGAATATTCGCACATGCGAGTCGTCCGCAGTCAATGGGTTAATCGATGTTCACGAGTGGCACGCATGCCTTGGTAATAGAGATGGGCAAAATTTTATTGGAATCATAAGGAATGAACAAAGCCACCCTGTAACTATATATTCGCCAAGTTTATGCTTTTGAACGATTCAATCTTCATTTGTTCACCGTGGAATGTTTAACCTATATATATTATATCCGTCTATGTATATTATAAACAGTAATTGCGATTTCTCTTTAAATGTAAATTAATTACGGTTGTTTACGGTTCATTTTTTGGTTTTAATTGGGTTCCCGTAATTAATAATATTCACCTTTAATCGTTATTTGAAATTTGTGTCTAGATAGAAATGTTCTTTGCTCATCTCTACGTGCTAATCGTTCGGTGAAATTTGAATTTCGCGTGACGACTGCTGGTGGACCGTCGTTTCCCTTCAATTGCGATTAAACCGAACGGAAACTGTACGTCGTTCGAAATTTGGCAACTGACGGAAAGAACGGAAGAAAGAAACGTGTTTACGTTTATAGGGACCGTAGGTATTGTCGGTGAAAAGTAGGTCGCGAAAGGTCGATAGTGGCATCGAACGGGAAGCGAAGATGCGAGAGGAAACGGAAGGAATGTCACGCGGTAACGACGTTAATATCGACGAATCGTTTTTTCGTCGATGATGGGGCTGTGATCGCCCAAGGCGAACGTCGAATCTCCACCACAGATCGAGTAGACCAGCGTCTACCCGTCGAGGCCAGCGAAAATGGTCGATTTAGGAGGATACATTATCATACTGATCAACCATAATGACAAGATCAAACTGTACGGTAAGTATCGATTGCGCCCGGGATCCATACGTAGAATCGAAAAATGATTAGCACCGACAGAAATTTGATAATGACACGTGTAATAAAAAGACGATATAAGACTTTTGACTCCGACTTGACACTTTAATTGCTTTTGTGGCTAAAGTTACGTAACTTTTACGGTAAAATCACGAATGTCTGTATAAAGTAGCCAGAATTTCGATATTGATAATAGTCTACTATAAAATTAATTTCTCACATAAAAAGCATACATTTTCACTACACAGAGCGAATCAACCTGTATATTTATTTACTGTGTTAAAGCAGAAACTCTACTGTGTTATTCCTTATATGCCAGTGTTATCGGTCGAGTATTTAAAGTTTGCTGCTATGGCAATTTTATTAGCATTTTTACGACCATTTTTTGTTTACCTCGATACAATTGCAAAATTGACAATTGTTATGACGCCGAATAAGAATCGAACTGGTTCAAGCCAACGGCATCGATTGCGTCGTTAAAGAAACAACACGCACTTCGTTTGCCATCGCGGGAGCGAGAAACTGTTTTCATTTTAATTAGCAGAGGTCTGTGCCATTTAATGAGCTCCAGCGAAGTCGGTTGTCAAGCACGTAGGCGTTTACGAACGTCTTTGTTCTAAAATTTCTTTTTTCGGATTCTTTTTATGAAAGCTCGGCATTGCGAATAATTGTTGATATTATTCGAAAATTAGCGCTGGAGCTTCTCGTCGAATTTTTCTGTATACTAATATTCGAACACTTTGGTGACTCAGATATAGATTACGATTATTTACCACTGCTTAGAAATACAAAAATAAATCAATTGCAAGGCTTGATAACAAAATGCTTGAAAGGGAATAACAATTCAATAATTCTTTTATGTCAAAGAATAAATTTAAGTTCAAATAAAAATGATTCGAATACATATCTTATCATTAAGTATGTACTTATGTGCTACATATACATATTATACGGTAACACTGGTATAAGCAATTATTATAATCACACTGCGGATATTTATGCATTTATAACAAATGTAAATATACAAAGATATAAATTTACATAAATGTCCACAGTCTAATTATAACATACTTTCTTGCAAGTTCCTCCTTATTATAATTATAATTCGTATCGATGAATTTTAATTATAATTTCAGTAAATAAAATTATTGTCAAATATTCGAAATTTATTGGCAGCATTTGAATATCCGTAAATTAATATTAAATATAAAATTAAAATTACTAGAACAGCCTTATTTCAAATCAAAACAAATAATTGGATCGCACGGTCTGTCGTGTGTCATCCGTATCTACTGTCCAATCTAGCACGCTCGTTTTCTACCGATTCTGGAATTGACAAGCTTCGTTTCCATCGAACGTTCAAGTTTTTCTTTTGCATTTCACGTATGCATTGCATGATATGAATAGCAAATTCTACACCTCGGAGAGTTTTTTTTTTTCCAAAATAATGTTTTCCGATCACTCTGAAAGTCTTGTCTTGCTAACTCTGGAATCATTTAAAAATATGTCACAGGTTCGCCGGCCGACAACGCGGACACGTTGGAGGTGGCGGATGAAATTTTAGAAGTTAATGGTAGCACCTTGGAAAATGCCAGCCAGTCAGAAGTCATCCAATACATATACCAGGTACTTGATGTTTCATTCTCGTGAAAATTGAAATTTATATTTCGACTACTTAGTGGTTCTGAACCATTTTGTACCCGTGACACAATTCTTCATCGTGACAAGCACTAGCAACAGTTTATGAATCTACAGAAAATGAAAATTCTGTAACAAGCAAGTATACGATTTGTTTTTTGTTTTTTTATTTCCCAGTGCATCGAGTCCAGAACAATATGTCTGCGAATACGGCGGAGAAGCGGAAACAAGAAGGGTGAGTGATTTATAAAATTTTCACGTTCATACCACATATGGTCAAAATTTTTATCTAATAGAAAACCATTTATCTGTTACTCGTTAAATAAAAATTAGAATTTAACTTATCGAATATTTCGCAATGGACAATTAAAAATTTAACTTTTTAATGGATTAAAGGCCACGAATAAATTGCTGTGCTTTTATTTTATTGGTTATCTATTATTCGAATAAAAATTTCGCCCACTAATAATTGAAATATATTTATAAATCATCTGAAATCATTTTTGGCGAGTAGCGCCACGCAAGCGAGGAAAAATTGCCGAAGAAAATGGACCGTTAAAGAGGATAAACGTGTTACATTGAAAGATCAGATACTCGGAGGGGTATAGATTTTCCATAGAACAGTCGATGACGACTCCTTCGACGATTCCGTTTAATCTCTTCAGGTGACTGACGATGTGAATTTGATCTGTGTCACAGCCACACGAATTTCTTTAAAAGAAACGCATCTTTCTTATATTTATTCAGATATCCTTCTTCGTTATTATTCTCAACATTTCTTATCGTAAATAAGTAGCTATTTAACACTAGAATCGAGCATGGTTAATATTCAAAACACTCGTGCGTTTAACTAAATAAACACAAAAAGCAATTTTAAATACACGAGTCAGTCGACTTGGTATATTTAGCGTTGAAAATAGTTTTCGCTCAACCTACCGGCATTATCGGTAAAGGGTAGTTACCGATTAGAGATGACCAAACTTTTGATCGAAATAAACATTTTAGATATCGAATAAAAGATGAAAAATTTACATCCTTTAATCGTCGAATAAATTTACTTGTAATGAATATTTGTATCTATTAGTCGACGAATAAAGACAGATG